GATTACAGAACCGGCTTTACTGATAAGATGCGCGTTAAATATCGCATGCGATTAATCGTGCAGCCCTAATTAGAAAATACAAAACAAACTGTTATTAACGCAGTTTAACTGTAACATTGCCAAAATTATGTTCACGTAATATAAAGTACAGCTCACATTCGCATAATCTCATAAAAGCTGTGTAAAATTACATTCAAACGTGTTTTAAGAAATTAAACAATAAATGTTGGCTATTTGGTCATATTTGGGAAATATTTACCACATTCTGCTGAAATCTGCGCCAGATATGCGCAGTTATGCGAACTCAGCTTGCAACTAATAAATAAGTATAACTAAATAAATAAATAACTATAATAAGACATACAATCAAGACAGTGACATATTTAAATTCCCAATTCAGGTAACGTTAAGTTAGTCTTAACAGATAATAACTCGGACCTTTAAGCCTTTAAAACGAGAAAAATAACAACTGAGCTACCTGAACTGAACTAGCCGCTAACGGGCTAATGACAGGAGATGAAAGCACACTGACTTTAATCCTCATTAAAACACATCTAAGCTGTTAACGTTATACGATTTTAATGACAAGGACAGAAAAATGTTCCTGTAATACTGTGATCTGTCGCGGTCGAAGTCCCCACCCCAAAGACGCAGATGACAGGTGCTTAGCTAGGCTTAGGCCTTTAGCTAACGTAGCTAACCTAGCTTATCTTTTTAAAGTGGGTTTTACTAGGATTTTAGCATGTAGCAACTTAATTTAGCTGTTAGCATTTTAGCTCAACACTTAGCCAGTTATCTTTGCATTTGAATGTGATATTGGTGTTAGCTCAGGAGGTTTCGCTTTAATCCCGTACCGTTCTGACACGGCGCCGCCGCTCCGCCTCCGTTTTGAGTGGAACTCATGCTGTAATTATTCACGGACGAGTTCGGATTCGCGTAACCCTGTGTGGACATCTCTATCCGAGTGCTCCGAGAGTATACAACGCTGTCACCAGTTGTGGGTCTCCATCGACCTGCCCACAGCTGAGCGCAGGGTTTGTCTGACTAACTAACGGTGCTGATCACGGGCCGGGGAATCCAGAGATCTGTAGAGGCGTCACTGACAGCTCTTCAAAATAAAAGTCTTAATAAAATAAAATAAAAGAATAAAATAAAATTAAATAAAATTAAATTAAAACAGAAACAAACAAAGCGAAGCACCCGAAAAAATTGCCTTTTTGTCCAAAATTAAAGATGTATTTTGTAGTACAAGCAGGTGGCTCATCTTGAGAGATCTGATCCATCATTACTCGCTGGTAAAGATACTGTATTTAAAAGGAGACATTTGTGCTTTATTGTTACAACTTACATCTGTGTACATTTCGTTAAATGCTGGAAAAATATAAATATTAACAGCTAAAAATTGTCGTGTTCTACGCCAATTGACTACAAATGAGTTGGGTTCGGTTCATTGACATTTCCCCCACATTTATAAAGCGTGTTGTACAATATTACAGATTTGAAATCAGCTTCACAGTGATTCAGCAATTCAACAATTTTGAAACAACTCCAATTTCAGCTGTAAAGTTGTAAAAGTGAGTATTTAATATCAGAACTAAATGGCTATATAGTAGCCTATTTAAATGTGTATGTAGTATTTATTGTATTTATTTGTTAGTTTTAGTTTATGTAGTTTCAGTTGTGTTAGTTACCTAAACTAAACAAAAATGAGAAATGTTGCCTTGCCAGCTATCTGGAATAAGTTTCATTTTCTATTAATTTTCTATATATTTTCTATATAATTTTATTATATAATAAATATAAGTTTATTTAATTTAACGTAATGAACATCAATTATGAAATTAATTCAATTAAGCTATAAAGCAGAGGGCAATAATGTCATTATTCAGCGCAATTTAGATTCAGTGTTGATTCAATCCAGTGTAAGTGTTAAAAAGGTAATCAATTATGAAATGACTTCAAAAAACAGTTCTACAGAAGACAATAGTGTCATTCAATTCAGTTTTTAAGTTTTTTGAACACAAGTTTTTGTGTTCTCATCCAATAGTGTTAGTGCAGTCAAACTGATAATATTTTCTGAATATTACTCATCTTTCCAGCCCCATCTGAGCGAGTCAAAGGCTACAGTGGCAATAAACATTGTATAACATCCCCTCCTGGTCCCATGGTGTGTAAGGAATGTGTTTTTTTCTTTTTAAATTAACGTCCTTTTGACCTCCAGTTAAACTCCAATCTGGGATCAGTATGTCTCCTGAAATTATTACAGTTTAATTTATTTATCTAAAGCATAAGATGTAGGCTATATTTAGATGACAGAAAGAGGAATTTAATTAGTGTTTATAACAAAACGTAAGTAATTGCACCATACAGATTGACTAATTAATCTGTTGCTTTAAATGTCTTATAGTCATATTAGTCATAGTCATGGCCCAGATATCCAGACCAGTGCAACCATGGGTTTTGGGCCGAAATTACCATACTTGATGGTCTTGACTGTTGATCTTTACAAAAGCACCAGTGAGCACATTTTACAAGACGTTTTCATCCATAGTATTAATGCTGAAGAGTTTACATTTCACTCTTATATTTGCTTATTTGGGGTTATAGTTATTTCATGATGTATTATTTATCATACTTATCTATGCTATGACTTCTGAGTAATAAATGCCACTCCCTTTTGCCAAGAAGACAACACTCTGTGTCTGTGCTGGAGGCAAGTATCACTCACATAATAGCAATAAACTGAGATTAGTAGGTAGCAACAGGAAGGAATGATTGACAAAGCTGGATGGAAAATAACTGTCACTGAATCTGTTACGAGTGCTTGATTCATCGTTGCTCAATGATGCCACTTCATCAGATTAGACGTAGTTCCTTCCATGTTACCAGAGAATCACTTTATATATACTGGCAGCATACATAACAACCACACTGCAAGAGCAACCACTTCTTCAATCTGAGTAACAGTCACTTTTATAAATAAAACATGCATTTATGCATGTATGAATAAACAACAAACTCAGTCAAGTAAAAGCAATTAAAATATCTTTATTGTTAAAACATTATCAATAATCTTTAAAATAGTTAAACATACTTTCTAAGTAAAAGTAGCTGTACAACAGATATTTTGTAAAACCCTGTCTAGCTTAATGAAGCTCCAGGCTTCCTAAGTGCTATAGAACCATTAGTAGTGTTAAAGTCAGCAAAAATCACAATCAAAACACATTTTACTTCCATTATGTGACATATTTGAGTGAAAATTATATTTAGTTATTCAAAAACAATACAATGAACCACAGGGCTTATTTTGTCTGTCAGGAACTGATGTGATAAGTGTTTTGTATTTGAATGCATTCAAGCTTTTTGGAAAGTCATTTCAGAAGTGGAGCGATGATTTTTTTTGATGAGAGATTTGCAAATGCAAATATTATTTTCCTCGGACTAATGTGCACTGATGAATAGCACACATGAAGAGCACTTAATGCGAATTATGAAAGTAAAGAGATTTGATTCCATTTTGACTTCAAACATTCAAATCACTCACAATCTCACAATAAAAATAATTCCGAACCAATCACAGCAGTTTAGTACTGAACCTAAAACAGAGTGCATTATTTTCAGTCAGGTGCACAATAACTGTTCACTATATACACGACAAGCCAAAAGTTTAGAATAATTAAGTTATATGTATAAAATAAATGCTGTTTTTTGAACTTTACATTTATAAAAGAATCATACAAAATAAAATGTATCTCGGTTTCCACACAAACATGAACTGTTTTCAGTAATCATAATAATAAAAAATGTTTCTTGAGCATCAAATCAGCATATTAGAATGATTTCTGAAGGATCATGTGACACTGAAAACTGGAGTAATGATGCTGAAAATTCGGCTTTGACTCACAGGAATACATTTGAAAATATATTAAAATAGAAAATAGTTATTTTAAATTGCAATAATGTTTCACAATTATTACTGTATTTTTAATTAAATAAATGCAGCACTGCTGAGCAGAAGGGACTTTTTTGAAAACAAAAAAAACAAAAAACATAATTATTCCAGTCTTTTGACCGATAGTGCACTTGTACAAAACTCTTTGCAGCTTGTGTCATTCTCCATGCATTTGTTTCCTCATCACAGTGCTCCGTCATTGGTGTATGAAGGATTTCCGAGGCCCTCGGTGTCTCCCATCCTACCTTTCCGACACGTCCTTTGTCTCCACAGTACAACGGCGAGCGCGACGCTCCCCGCGATGATCCCTGCGCTCACAGCCGCCTGGTCGGGTTGCGGCGACTCATATCGTGCACACGACTTCTCGCTGAGTCCCGCTTGATTCCCGGCCGCCACGCACACCATCTCCCCGACTTTCAGTCCGGGTACGGCACCGTTTCTTAAATATTCTCCGAAAACCAGCTGCTTGTTTCCATCTTTCAGTGTGACCTCATAATGGGTGATGGTGGAGCGAGGAGCGCACCAGTGCACAAAGACTTCCCCGGATCCGTCCAGCTTCACCTCCCGGAGCTCCGGAGCCTCGGGTCTCTCCTCAGGCCCCGTCAGCCCAGGACAGAGGCAGCCCGTCTCGGCTGAAATCTTGTCGCAAGGGGTCGTTTGAACCGCACAGGGGTCATAATCACAAGGTCGGCGGATTACACGAGAGGTCGTGACCCCTGGAGACTGGGGCGCGCGCGTCATTGAACTTTCTTCATCGTAGTCGTCCTCGACTTCAATAATGCGAACACGTGTGAGAGGAGGCTGATGCAGTGAAGGACTGACAGATGTGGCACAGACGAGCTCCATCACACAGAGGAGGAGGAGGAGGAGGAGGAGGGACATGACCTGTGACACCAGCAACATCTTGATCCTGAAACAGATAAAGTTACAGTTAAAGTTCATTTTTAGCAGCTCCATTCAGAACATAAATAAACTGGACATAAGAACAAATTAAAGAACATAAGATCAAATTTGACCCTGTTAAGTGCATAATAAAAGCTCCTGCTCTTCTGAACAATTCATTGTTGTGTGTCATTGCAATAACAAAAATCAATATAAAAAATGAAATGACTTTTCAGCTCCCTATCCCTATCAATCCTATTATATTCTTTTTCACAAGAATATGAAATGAATTGAAGAAAAAGAAAAAACTCGGGTCGCAGTTGCGCTGTATGTCGACGCACAAACCACGAGGCAATTGGTGCCGACTTATAGGATGTTTTTAATGAAATACTCAAACATACGTAAATAAAATATTATTTTATCAGCGTTATTTTATTTTCATTGTGATGCTATTATAGTTTTTTTGTTATTATCTTGAATAAGATTTTATTTTAGTTTAGTTAAAGCTTTAGTTATTTTCTTGTTTTTTTTTTTTTCATTTTTATTACTATCTATATATGTTTGTAGAGTGTTTGGTTTTAGTTTTAGTTATTTTGGAACATCAAGTTAAACCAAATGAAAATGAGAAATGTTGCTTTGGCAAGCAGCCTAACTGAAATATTTTTTTTTAAATGTTTTATTTCAGTAAAAAATGTTTTATGGTTATAGTTTAAGTTAACAATAATAATCCTGACTAACGTCATTTCATGTTCACCTTAAACTGTTTCCATCCGTCTTTCAAAAGTCTTTCTCTGTGAGCAAACAAACAGCCTGAATGTTCCGTCTGGAGAGAATTAAAGTCAAACTAAACATGAGGATGTATTTTTAACACAGGACACACACTGGGCTCCACTCACACACATCGCAGTGGAATGAATCTCAAGGCAGCTCCTGACAGTTACCGTGGGAACCCGACTAAAGCCAGAAAGTGAAAGAGAAGTCCTGGTCCCTGATTGATGCCAGCTTGCTGAAAATTCACATCCAATAAAGATACACACTTGGATCAACAACAACCGCCTGACAGTTACCGTGGGAACCCGACTAAAGCCAGAAAGTGAAAGAGAAGTCCTTGTCCCTGATTGATGCCAGCTTGCTGAAAATTCACATCCAATAAAGATACACACTTGGATCAACAACAACCAAAAAGTTACTGCTGCTAGGGGATACTAAGTGATCAGACTAACAATTTCTACCTGGTGTAACAAAATAGAAACCGAAACACTGAAGGAAGAACCCAGGCCTATGTATAAACCAGAAGATACTTCATAAAGACTTGATGACTGACTCTAATGACTAATCAATTCTCTAGCAATGGCATAACAACACGCTTAACAGCTCATAACATCTTAACATCGCCCTGACAATAATGCATGGGCAAAAACAGTGTAGATATTGTTATAGTTGTTGCCAGAGATAACTAAAACTAAAACCATAAAAACACATTTTTTTGTGACTTGAAATAAAATAAATAATTATTAACTCTAATATAAAGTATAAAAATATAAAAATGAAAAAATAGCTGGAAATACATTTGCTTTTATTCCAGCTACTTGCCAAAACAGCATTTCTGATTTTCATTTAACTTACACACACACACACACACACACACACACAAAAGTGTAGAAGCAATTTTCACTTTGAATTTGATAGTAAATTTCATAAAGGTTTATTTTTTTAAGGATGTTTTTAAAGAAATACACAAATATACAGAAATAAAATGCTATTTTATCAGTGTTATTTTATTTTAATTGAAATACTATTTTTTTGTTGTTATTTTGAAGTATTTTATTTTAGTTAAAGTTTCAGTAATTTTCTTGGTTTTTCATTTTTATTAGATTTATCAATATTTGTTTTGTTTAAATATTTGTTTAAATATGTCTATAAAGTATTTATTATTTTTTTTAGTTTTAGGTTTTAGTTTTAGCTATTTTAGTACAAGTTAAACCAAATGACTTTTTTTTTTTAAATATTATATTTATTTAATTTCAGGTACCACTTATTTTATTTAAAGTAACATTTTTTATAGTTGTAGATTTAGTTAACGATAATAACCTTAAACTGTTTCCAACCCAGAAAATGGAAAATGCAAAAATAAAAAAAATAAATGAATTCAAAATAGCATCTAAAAATAACAAAATAAAATAATTGAATAATAAAAAAAATGTTCAAATAAAAACTTAAACTAATAATAAAAATAATAAAACACTACACTGAATTAAAATATTATATATATTATCATATGATTAATATTTAAATTGAAAGGAAAAAGAAAAATACAAAAATAAAAACAAATTAAAAAATATTTTGAAAAACTATAATACTCAATGGCTTATTTTACTAAACATTAAAAGTATATTAAAAATGATTCAATTAATTACATAAAATAATTATTTAAAAAAAGTTTTAAAAGGTACACTGATTATTTCAAAAATATTTATTTAGAATTATCCATTATTCCAAGATTTATCAAAGTTTGACAGTATAGTCACAATATCTGCAGTAGCTGCTGTAGTGTTTGGGTGGTTCCCATCATAAAATACCACACTATTAGTCCACTATTACAGTTCCTATTATACTGATCATCATGGCAACATGTAGCCTCAGCGTCAGTAAAACTGTAGTAAAAATGCTCAGCGTACCTGTTTGACAGCAGTCTGAATGGTTTTCTGCTCACGTCTTGAATGAGATCAGACTTCTGGTTTATTTTCTCTCAGTCTAATGCATTCTTCCCCTTCACCTTCCCTTTTTTCTTTCCACTAAAGCCCCTCCCTCTGTACACCCCCTCACCCATCTGCCGGCCTCCCACCGTCCTGCCTCACTCTTTTTGGCTTGCAACATTTCTTGTCGCGCTGAGTCTCTCTCCAGGACTCTCTTCGGCACTCAATGCTATCCCCCTCCCCACGTCCCTCTCTCGGCTCCTTTCAAGTGTGTTTGTGAGTCCCGCTGAGTTTTGTGCTGCTCTGCATGTTAATTTCTCCAGCAGGAGCAACAGGAGACATGCTGGAACTCATCTGGGTGTCCCATACTCTGCGTGTATGTGCAGGCGTGTCAGGGTTATTATAAAACTAAAACCATAAAAAAATGTGAACTTCATGAAATGAAATAAGATCAAATATATTTAAATGTAGAATATTTTTAAAACACAATTTTATCTCTGAATTTTACCAAATTACTAACAGTATCTAAATATCAAAGCAGCTACAAAGTTATTTTAGTAGGCTACTATTTATATACTATTACAGTATTTTATTAAAATTTGAATGAGCATCTGTTTTTAGAATTTCAGTTTTCATTTTAACTTTAGTTTAAGAATTTGTAATTTTGTTTACTTCTGTTTTTTTTCCAATTTTTCAACTTTTTATTTTATTTTAGCTATACAGGTGCATTTCAATAAATTAGAATGTCGTGGAAAAGTTCATTTATTTCAGTAATTCAACTCAAATTGTAAGTCAACATTCCTCATTTTTGTTTAGTTTAACATGGTGTATATATGTAACTAATATTCATAAAAATATACAAACATTCAAAAACAAATAAAAATCAGTTATTTAAATTTAAAGTGGAATTATCTAAAATTAAAGTGGAAACAGAAACTAAAACAAAATTTAGTTCAAAATGTTAACAGAAACTATAAAAGTGATACTAAAATAAAACTTTTGTGTTCATTGAGTTTTCGTATTCAATATATTTTCATATTTAAGTTGTTAATCACTAAAATCTTTATCTTTAATTGAGCTAAGAATTAATGTCTGATTCCAAAACGAACTTTTACACTGTAATAATTCATTTTCAAAGTTGCAAATAAAACTGATTAGAGTACTTTTTACCAGAAAATACTATTTTCTTAGTCTTCTTTCTACTTCAAATTTTCACGTTCTTTGCCGTTTCTTTGTAACTATTTCTGAAATTTACTAGCAATTTTTGAGTGAATTGTTTATAATTTTTTTTACATATACAGTGTTTATATATACAATTCCAAAACGAACTTTTACAATGTAGAATAATTTTTTTTAATTTTTATTTATATACAAGAAAATACTATTTCAGTTTTTCTACTACAAAATTCCAATGTGTTACTTGTACTAATTTCGGAGTGAAAACTGTTCAACAATAAATTCTGTCTTTTTTTTTTCATTTTAATTTTTCAATTTTTCTGTGTTTAAATATGCAGAATGGAAAATGAGATTTGCAACAGAGGAACATTTTTCAGAAAGTCAGAAGTCAGAAAGATCTTTATTACCAAGTATGTTTACATACACAAGGAATTTGACTTGGCGACAGGAGCTTTCAGTGCAGAAGAAAGTATGGACATAAGTACGGGCATCATTTTCAGTGAATAATGACTTGACTATTTTCATGGTGTTATTTTTAATGGACATGGTCATTATGATCCGTCACGATGTGGCAAAGAGCTGCGCAAAGATTCTTCAATAATTCTCATTTTGTGCTTCATGGAAAAATAACATAATACTGGTTTGGAAAAACGTGAGAGTAAATAAACTAACTGAAACAATGTTCTTTTTGGTCGAACTGCCTTTAAAAAGCCCTGTTTATTACAAAAGCTGCGATGTACAAAGTCTCAGCTCATTATTTGCTCCACTTCACATTCCTCTCCTCTATAATTGTATATGTCCAGCAGAGCATGAGCCATGACAGAGAGAGAGAGCGAACTAGACGGCTGATATTCATTTCTATTGACCCCCATTGTTGTGCTTTCCAGGCCGAGGGGAAGAGGAAACCCGTCCTTATATGGGTTTCATTACCATTTAAGAGCCACATAACTTTTTACTTTTTTCCATGTTGCAAGGCATTTACAGTGAGGTTGTGGATGCAGTCGTGCTGAACATGAGAATGAGATTGTTGGTTCTCGTTCAGGCCCACATCTTGACTCAGAAACATCTCACAGACAGCGACATGAGTCACAATATCACGGTGAAAAAATCTGTGTCAGGCATGTATGGTCATGTCTGTGTGTGTGATCAGGAAGACAAAACATATTCAATGTCTCAACATTGACAATCCTGTTTTTGCTCACTATATAGGGGAGGTCGGGGCTAATTCTCTCTGTTATCACTACAGGTGGGTTTATTTTTGAAAGTCAAATTCTACACAGACACAAACCTTAAAGCTTTCACTACAAACAAGCTATTTTCACCATATTGCTCAGGAAAAAAAGATGAAGTTCATTGAACACACACTGACCTTTTGTCACAAGTCCAGTCCAATGGGAACCACCACTGAACAACCTTAAGCAATAAAATAATTACAAAGCACAAAACAATTCATGAAACAGCAGAAATGGAAAAAAAAAAAAAACATTCTTCAACCATTCTTTTAGAATTTGGAATCAATCAACTAATCAAAGGCATGCACTAGCAATCAAAAGTTTGATATAAGATGTTTTACGTTTTTTGAAAGAAATCTTTAATGCTCAGCAAGGCTGCATTAATTTGATCAAAAATATATTTTGAAATTTAATTTATTCTGATGCAAAGTGATCAAATGTGACAATAAAACATTTATGTTACAAAAGATTTCTATTTCAAATAGATAAATGCTTTTTATTGAACTTTTTATTCATCAAAGAATCTTGAAATAAAAAGAATCACTGTTACCACAAAAATATTAAGCAGCAAAAATATTTTCAACACTGATAATCATAAAAACCACTGCTGATATTTGATAATAATTGAGCGGAAAATCAGCATATTAGCATGATTTCTGAAAGATCATGTGACACTGAAGACTGGAGTAATGATGCTGAAAATTCAGCTTTGATCACAGAAATAAATGACATTTAAATATATATTCACATAAAAAAAAATTTTTATTTTAATAATATTTCCCATTTTTTGCTGTATTTTGATCAAATTAACGCAGCCTTAGTGAGCTTTGAACATTTTTTTATTTTAATAATATTTCCCATTTTTTGCTGTATTTTGATCAAATTAACGCAGCCTTAGTGAGCTTTGAATTGTTTTTTATTATTTCAAACTTGTGACTAGCAGTGTGTATTAAGTATTTGTGCTTTAAGTAAACTTTAGGTATTTGTTTTTGACTCAAAACATACTGGTACATGCAAGATCTTGTGACTTCTTCCGCATATCACGACATGCCCTGCATGGTCCAAACAGAATGACTCCTACAGAAACCATTACTGTGGTTTCTATGGTAAAGTTGTCAGAAGGGCAGTTAACACATTCTCAGATGGACAGACAGATATTTGATTGCGCTGAATTCACTCGCTTACGTTACAGTCAAAATACTGACATAACAGCCAGACTGGTTTTCATTTGATGAGGCAAACACTTTGGCACTGGAGTTCATGTCTTATTCTTCCACCCACTGCTTCCTGAAGACCCCCGGCATTCAGTCTCCCACTCTCTCTCCACTACATACTATTAAAACAATCTGAATCCATAGGGAAAGAGCAGGCCTCAAGAACTCCTGACCCCTGCTCCAGTCTCACACTCCAGTCTGATTCCACTGAGATGTAGACGTCACAGGAAAAGAAAACATGTCTTAAATTTCAGAAAGCACATGTCATGATATTGACCAGAGTATGAAACCATATTTTACTAATAGAGTCTGTGGGACAGAAGACAGAAAACTAGATTTTGCCTCGCAAAACTCACTGCCACAGTTGCCAAGGTGTTGCTATGAATTTCTAGACTGTTCTGGGTGGTTGCTAGGTGATTTATTACTGGCCCAAATCAAAAGATTCCCCTACACGTTTCTATGAGTACAATAAAAAATTTAAATAATATACAACATACATAATAAATACATGTATAAATGTAAATGTAAACTATTACAGTTTTTCTCAGTCGCTTTGGTGCATTTCTCAAATCAGAAATGAAATTCTCAAAACTACTTGTTCAACCTCCACATCATCTAGTCATTTGTACACATCATAAAAGCAGTTTCTTTTCATTCGAGAATTGAGCCAAAGCAATTGAGAAAAACTGTAAATGCTTCAGATCTTTATGTAACAGGAGAGTTATTGAAAATGCTATTGTTCCCTGTAAAGCAATGCTCTTCTCAGAGCTTCCCTCATGAATTACTAACACATCCACCCACAGCTCAATGAATAAATTATTCAGCACAAGCACTAACTCATGGCTGTGTGTATCAATAATCCCCTGATAATGAGCTGTCACTCATGTCAAATGCTATAGTTGTTTCTTTACAGCATCTGGGCTAAAAATGAAATGAATGAGCTCATATTCTTTTGGGGAGCTCTCATGTAGGTAGATGTTGATTTTCAGTTTATTTTCGGTATTCGGGTTAAAATCCATTAATATGACATCCTGACCCAGCTAGATTTCCAAAAACTCAGTGTCAGGCAGAATTTCATGTGTTTAGATTTTGAATAAAACGACAGTAAATACTCAGAATGGGGAAGAGGAACTTAGAATTGCATCTAGATGTTTTCCATTCTCCCTTTTTTTATTTCTGTTTTTCGTACCAAACGTTTATTATGCACAGACTTCCATGTAACGTTTTCTGAAGTAAAAAAAAAAAAAAAAAAAGATTGAATAGATTTGCAACCAAAGCCAAACTAATAATTTTCACAGAAAACTGGAACATCTTGTCAGTGAATGCTAATAATCCACTCTGAAGTCAGGAACATTGTGAGTGAAAATGTACTTTGAATTAAGAATGTCATCCAAGAATATGTGATAACAGAAATAAACCTGTTACGTTTTTGCATGTTTTTGTTTCTCTGTTGTAAGTTTAAATTGACAAAATATATTCATAATGAAATACATATATAAAATAATTTATAAATAATTTATCTCACTCTGTCTCTTTATTTGTTCAAAATTTTGAACGAATAAAACGAAAAGGTCTTTAACGGCATCTTAGCTGATCGCGGCCCCTACGGGTCAAAAGATTTAATGTCAGCCATTGAATGCTGTTATCCTGCCAGTCAGGAAAATAGCTATCAAATCATCGCTTCCGCTAAAATTATTTATTCCGATTATTTTGAAAGTTCTGTTCATGCGTTTCTTCAGGGCTCATATGTTGATCTGTGCTGCACTCTAGTGGTCATCAGCGGTCATTGCGATCGGAATCGATACATTACCTACACCTGAGATTTATCAAAATCACTCAAGCATAATTAATGCACTGTAAATTTAACAAAGAAAACAGCTGGAGGAGAATCGCATGCAAATATGCAAACGAAGAAATAATTGGATTGTCAGATATTAAGTGCACTTCTTCAGCCTTGGTGATGCATTTCCAAAACCAAAACAGTTATGCAACATGTTCATATAGTGCAGCTATAAGAGCGTTGCGTCGCGATAAAGCACATATCTTAATAAAAAGATATAGTTTAAACACTTTCTAATTAGTTTTGGATAAAAGCATCTGCCAAAATGTATTTGTAATGTAATGTTTTTTTTCTGGATAAAGGAAGCACACATAGGCTTATGCATGGAAGGATGTGTGGATGTGTCCCTCTGGTCACTTGATTAGAGGCATTACTGTACAGGGAAGCGCGTCACGGATCCTCCCCCTCCATACCATAATAACCCGTCATGGCTTCCCAAACCCGCCTCTATATGCACCGATTCCACGCACGCCACCGTCTACACCGACCAAACTCTCATCCGCGGTCACGGAGAGCATTGAAAACGACGCCCTTGACCCATTTCCAATCAGGAACGGTCTGATTTCTGACTAGCATTGATGGATTGTGCACTTGCGGCACCGGCCGGGAAACCAAATGCATTGCTCACCGGATGCTCTCGGTTTCATTTGTTTGACTGGTTGTGAATGTGTCAGGAGGCACCTATAACACTGTAAATCTGCTCTCCTCGTGTCATCTGTACAGTTCCTCGCGCGCTTCCTTGTTTCAGGCCAATTGCGGGACGGGCTGAAGCCACGGAGGAGGGGGGTGGTCTCAGGTATCCGGTTCTTTCCGTAATCCTGCGCCGGTGGCATTTTAAATCCGTTTCTCCAGCGGGATCTGCTCAGTGGTGATTGTTTACTTCATGCGTTGTTCTTTAGAACTCTTAATTGTTGCATTGCGCAGAACGTTTAATTGACACATTATCGCACTTGCGGATTATATAACGTTTATATTATAACTTCTGCGGGATGACGATAACGTGTGTGTAGAACGCTGCGTGGTTACATTGTAGCTCTCGCAGAATGAGCGTTTCGGAACGTTTCACTGTTTTACTGTAACAGTGCAGAAGTGAGCAGAGCAGCCCACCGGGATCCGGTGTAAATATTCAACAAATGATAGAGGAGGAGTCGGTGCACGATAAAAGGGATGTGAACCGAGAGCAAAGAGCTTTGGATTCGGTTTAAAGCGCGCGCTCACTGTGTTCTCCTCAGTTTGCTGGAAGTCCTGCTGCTTTATTATGAAGAGTGATCTCTCATAACAGGATTTGGGCATTATCGATCGGATTATGAGTGATCATCCATGCAAAGTGACGCGAGATTGACTTAGTTTCAGATCTTGAGGGGATTTATTTCTGTTCTTCTTCTTCTTCTTCTGGAAACGCATTGGCATCCAGGATGCACCCAGAAAGCAATGAGAACACTGCAGGAGCAGCAGCCAGCGGGACACCCGCTTCGGAAGAATCGACCACTGAACCGCAGGCTGGACATACCGAGCACCTTGCAGTGGAGCACAAAGAGCCGCAGGAGTACGAGGAACAGGAGTGTAAGCTCGCCCCGGAGGACAGCACGGTGCAGCCGATACAAACCGGCTGCCCCGACAAGCGTCCGGCGACGCCGCCCGGCGCACACCCGGGACCGGGGTTCGTTCCCCCGGAGGGGGGCTTCGGCTGGGTCGTGGTGTTCGCTGCTACGTGGTGCAACGGCTCGATTTTCGGCATCCAGAACTCATTCGGGATTCTGCACATGATGCTGGTGAAAGACCATCAGGAACTGACGGACCAGGCGTCTCAGTTCAAAGTGGGTGAGTGTGTTTCAGTGTTTCACTAAGTGTTGTAAGTGTGAGGTGAAAGGAGATTGCAGGCACGCTTGATCCTGAGAGGCTTAAGGGATCATAACGGTTTTTTCGAGCCCCAGAGTCTGGTGGCCGCGCCAGGTAGAGCACTGGTTGTATTAAAAATAAATCCTTTGAAAAATATAATCTTCTTGTATAATTCAAGTATGTAGTGGTGCCTTATTGAACTCAGAAGGCTTAGAGAACATTCACAAAGCCTGGACTTTTCCTAGTAAAGTTGAAGGGGATCAGCCGCAGACTGATAGCTTTACAGCCCATGACCTCATGAATATATTTCTATTCAGAGAATGAGTTTCCGAGTCATTTCAAAGCTGAATGTCATCTCATAATTGTTTTGGTACTCATTTTTTGCATGCACTTTATATAAGTCAACATAATGTTCACAACCCATTTTACTTTCTTTCTGAGAGGAAAATATATATACTGTATTTACTACCGTTCAAAATGTTTTTGAGAGAAGTCTCTATGCTCACCAAGGCTGCAGTTATTTAATAAAAATACAATAAAAATAATATAGTGAAATATTATTGCAATTTAAAATAACTGCTTTCTAGTTGAATATATTTTAAAATGTAATTTATTCCTGTGATTTCAAAGCTGAATTTTTAGCACAATTACTTCAGTCACATGATCCTTCAGAAATCAATCAAATATTCTGATTTGCTGCTCAAAAAACATTTATTATTATTATGTTGAAAACAGCTGAGTAGAATTTTT